CCATCAAGTAAAAATGGCTGAAGCAGATAGACCTAAGACAGCATTTAGTTATGGCCAAGTTCTCTGGCAATACCGTGTGATGCCATTCGGGTTCAGTAATGCTCCAGCAACATTTGAGAGGCTGATGGAAAGAGTATTGGAAGGCCTACAATGGAGGATAGCCCTAGTGTACCTGGACGATGTCATTGTATTTGCAACAACTTTTGATGAGGAAATGTCCCAGCTAGAGGAAGAATTCAAGCATTTGAAAGCAGCAAACCTCAAACTCCATCCCAAGAAATGCCACTTGTTCCGGAAAGAGGTGCTTTACTTAGGACACATTGTAAGTGAACATGGTGTGCAAACTGATCCTGACAAGGTGAAAGCAGTGCGTGATTGGGAACACCAGACAATGTGATAGAGTTAAGAAGTTTCTTGGGACTCTGTACCTATTACCGGAAGTTTGTGAAGGACTTTGTAACTATAGCTGCTCCACTACATGATTTGACTAAAAAAGGCCAGACGTTTGAATGGACAGTTTATTTCCAGCATTCTTTCAAGACATTGAAAGACAAATTGGCCTCAGCTCCACTTTTAAAGCTTCCAAATCCATCACTGCCATACATACTGGATTGTGATGCTAGTAATGTCGGAATTGGAGGATTATTGTCTCAGAAAGTGGGCGAAAACGAACATGTGGTGGCCTACTTCAGTAAGGTTTTGAGTAGATCAGAGAGAAAATACTGTGTAACATGGAGGGAACTCCTTGCTATAGTAAACAGTCTGACATATTTCCATCCTTACCTGTATGATTCGAGGTTTACCATCAGGACAGACCATGCTGCGTTACACTGGTGACGATCATTAAAGAACCCAGAAGGACAACTGGCACGTTGGATTGGAAAGATAGACCAGTATAACTATGATATTGAATACAGAGAGGGAAAATCTCGTGGTAATGCCGATGGATTGAGCTAAAGACCATGCAAAATTGACTGCAAATATCGCTGCAAAAGAGAGGTTGAACTACCCAGGTGTCATCAAGCTGAAGGCAAGGCGACTGAAAGAGTTGATGATGACGAAGTGGAACCAAATATAGATATCAAAGCAGAACAGGAGAAAGACCAAGATTTGAAGCCAATAATTGATTTTCTAAAACAAGTGTTTTGCACCCTGCTTGGGAGAAGGTGTCTAGTCTAAGCAC